TCAGTGCGTGTGTATCAGTGTGTGTGTGTGTATCAGTGTGTGTGTGTGTATCAGTGTGTGTGTGTGTCTGTGTGTCTGTGTGTATGTATCCGTTTGTGTGTGTGTCTGTGTGTATCAGTGTGTGTGTCTGTGTGTATTTGTGTGTGTCTGTGCGTGTGTCTGTGTGTATCAGTGCGTGTGTGTGTGTATCAGTGTGTGTGTGTGTCTGTGTGTGTGTCTGTGTGTCTCAGTGTTTGTGAGTATCAGTGTGTGTGTCTGTGTGTGTACCAGTGTGTGTATCAGTGCGTGTGTGTGTGTATCAGTGTGTGTGTATCAGTGTGTATCAGTGTGTCTGTGTGTATGTGTGTATCTGTGTGTATCAGTGTGTGCGTGTGTCTGTGTGTGCATCAGTGTGTGTGTGTATCAGTGTGTGCGTGTCTGTGTGTGTCTGTGTGTATCAGTGTGTGTACCAGTGTGTGTGTGTATCAGTGTGAACAGCGTGTGTGTGTATCAGTGTGTATCAGTGTGTGTGTGTCTGTGTGTATCAGTGTGTGTGTGGGTGTGTCTGTGTGTCTGTGTGTGTCTGTGTGTGCATCAGTGTGTGTGTATCAGTGTGTGTGTATCAGTGTGTATCAGTGTGTGTGTACCAGTGTGTATCAGTGTGTGTGCGTGTCTGTGGGTATCAGTGCGCGTGTGTGTATCAGTGTGTGTGTCTGTGTGTGTATCAGTGTGTGTGTGTATCAGCGTGTACAAGTGTGTGTATCAGTGTGTATCAGTGTGTGTGTCTATGTGTGTATCAGTGTGTGTGCGTGTGTGTATCAGTGTGTGTGTATGCATCAGTGTGTATCAGTGTGTGTATATGTGTGTATCAGTGTGTGTGTATCAGTGTGCGTGTACCAGTGTGTATCAGCGTGTGTGTGTGTGTGTCTGTGTGTGTGTCTGTGCGTGTGTGTGTGTGTCTGTGTGTCTGTGTGTGTCTGTGTGTATCGGTGTGTGTGTATCAGTGTGTGTGTGCCTGTGTGTGTATAAGTGTGCGTGTGTGTATCAGTGTGTGTGTATCAATGTGTAGCAGTGTGTGTGTCTGTGTGTCTGTGTGTGTATCAGTGTGTGTGTACCAGTTTGTGTGTGTATCAGTGTGTGTGTCTGTGTGTACCAGTGTGTGTGTGTGTGTGTGTCTCACTGTGCGCGTGTGTGTCTCAGTGTGTCTGTGTGTGTCTGAGTGTATCAGTGTGTGTGTCTTTGTGTGTATCAGTGTGTGTGTATCAGTGTGTATCAGTGTGTGTGTGTGTATCAGCGTGTGTGTGTACCAGTGTGTGTGTGTATCCGTGTGTGTATCAGTGTGTGTGTGTGTGTGTCTGTGTGTCTGTGTGTGTCTGTGTGTATCAGTGTGTGTGTGTGTGTGTGTCTGTGTGTGTCTGTGTGTCCCTGTGTGTATCAGTGTGTGTGTACCAGTTTGTGTGTGTATCAGTGTGTGTGTGTATCAGTATGTCTGTGCCTGTGTGTGTCTGTGTGTATCAGTGTGTGTGTGTGTGCATCAGTGTGTGTGTGTGTATCAGTGTGTGTGTGTATCAGTGTGTGCGTGTGTGTCTGAGTGTCTGTGTGTGTCTGTGTGTGCGTATCAGTGTGTGTGTATCAGTGTGTGTGTATCAGTGTGTGTGTGTTTGTGTGTCTGTGTGTATCAGTGTGTGTGTATCAGTGTGTGTGTGTGTATCAGTGTGTTTGTGTGTGTATCAGTGTGTGTGTGTATCAGTGTGTGTGTGTGTGTGTCTGTGTGTGTGTCTCTGTGTCTGTGTGTGTCTGCGTGTGTGTATCAATGTGTGTGCATCAGTGTGTGTGTGTCTGTGTGTGTGTCTCCGTGTGTCTGTGTGTGTCTGTGTATGTGTGTGTCAGTGTGTGTGTGTGTATCAGTGTGTGTGGGTGTGTCTGTGTGTGTGTCTGCGTGAATGTGTGTATGTGTGTGTATCAGTGTGTGTGTGTATCAGTGTGTGTGTGTGTGTATCAGTGTGTGTGTATCAGTGTGTGTGTGTGTTTGTGTGTGTCTGTGTGCCTGTGTGTGTCTGTGTGTGAATCAGTGTGCGTGTGTGTATCAGTGTGTGTGTGTATCTGTGTGTGTCTGTGTGTGTGAGTCTGTGTGTGTCTGTGTGTGTCTGTGTGTGTATCAGTGTCTGGGTGTGTCTGTGTGTCTGTGTGTCTGTGTGTGTCTGTGTGTGTATCAGTGTGTGTGTCTGTGTGCTGTGTGTGTGCATGTGTCAGGGGGGTGAACACACAGACACACAGAATTGGCGGTTCCCCGGGAAGTTTTGAATATATGGGAAGTGGAGGGGAAGACGGACATCCAGGAAATATGGGAAACATATGGGATCTTGGGAGTCATGTCTATTTGTTTGTGTGTCCTTGGGCCCCTTCACTGTGTGCGGGTGCGTGGATGCAGGCGAGTGGGTGTACGCAGGTGCGCTCGCGCGTGTGAATGTGTCCGCGTGCGCCGCGCAAGAAGGATAGATTCTAGAGGAAGAACAGGAGGAGAGAAAAGATGATGAATAGTGAGGAGGGGCAGGGGGAGGAGTATGACAAAGACGAGATTGGGCATTGTTCTTGGCTCGTCCCCTCTCTGGTTCGCTGCCGAGTCTGAAAGTACCAGGGGAGCCTGAGAATCCGAAAGTGGAGGAATCCAAGACCTCCGAACACTTCGTGCGATAGATTGGCATGCTCGTTGGAAACGCATCAACCACCATGTCCCACTGCCTGCAGGACCTTCCCCGGGGCCAGCTCGTCGTCCTGAGTCGTTCGTGACGATCCTGGGGCCTGCGGAGGGCTCCAGGGCTTCAGAAACGGCGGATACAGCAGGCCCGTTTCCTCCAAGACCCGTTTCTCTCACGCCGAGGAGCGGGTGCGCCGAATTCATCATGGTCGTGAGCCCCAGTTCTGGAGGCAGGGCCGCTCCTGTTCGCTTTGCGTGGGCTCTTCTTCTCCAGAAGTCCCTTTGGAGGCCCAGGGAGGGCCAGAGACGTCCAAAGCAGCCCTATCTTCCTCTTGGGGCAGCTCTGGCTCCTCTTCCTCGATCTCTTCCCCCTCCTCAATTCCAGACATCTGGGTGAATCGACAAAAAAGAGAAGCCAGTTTTTCAATGTTTGGCTTTCGGATGCCAGGTTCGGGCACTGTGGCCGCCAAAAAGCTACTCGGGATGAAAAGCCAGGCCCGGGGAAGTGATCGAGAGGTCTGGTGGCCTAAGTCTCGAAGTAATTAAACCGCCTGGTGTCTGGGTCTTGGTCTTCCTCCCTGACTGCAGAACGCCTCTCGTCTCACCACTAGATGTTTTGCAAGAGCGGGCGAGCGTTTCGCCTGAGATTTCTCACTACTTCTAACCGTGAAGCTTGAAATCTCCAACAGTTACACGGCTGAAGGGCAGCTGGTTTTCAAAATGTGGGACTCGATTTGAGGTTGCGCGCATTCGTCTTCAAAGGTCCCAGCAGTTACGAGGATGGATGGCAGGTCGTTTCCAAAATGTGGTTCTCGCATCAGCGCCGCGCACATTGCTCATAGTATAATACTTCTGTTCCAATGATGAAGTGCGGCTCCTTTTCAAGACGAGGTTTTCGCTTGAGACTCCTTGAGGCTCTATATATGAGTGGCTGCACCCTCTGCCGCCGGGGCCTTCCAGTCATAGCCACATCGTGACTATGTTGGGAAAGTTTGGAGACCGTCTTGAGGCCGCTCGGGGGTAACTTGAGGCCCGTGGGATCGCCTTCCAGCCAGCTTGGACAACCTTGGGGTTATCCCATTTTGTGGCCTTCTGGGGCGGGCCATCTTGGGGCTATCTTGAGTGACCTCGGGCGCTCTGGGGGCCGGCTTGAACCGATATTGGACATCGTGGGAACCATACGTACATAGGACGGGCAAAAACATTGAAATACCATGGTTGGTGACTGCTGTTTGCCCTCGTCTAGGGGCCCTCCTCGGCCGCCTTCATGGCACGTGAGGGACAAGATTCGGGCGCCTTGAGCGCTCGAGGGTTTCTGCGGTGCTCCGAGGGGCAGTCCTGGAGGCATCCTGGGCCCACCTGGCCGTCTGGACGGTCGGCTCCCTTCTTGGTGAGCAGCAGGAAGGGGGGGCACGTTGCTGGAGAGAGATGGGAGGCAACAGCTCAAAGCAGCACCAGGATCGCCACGGGGGGCAGCGGGTCCCGAGGGAAACGTGTCCTGAGGTTTTCTGCCGTTTTTTTGCTTTCGGGGCCTTCCACGGGCCGCGGGACCGTCAGAAAACGGGTTCAGGATGAAGACCTGGTCTTGGGGAAAGGCCCCAGGGTCCAGGACCCATTTCCCTCAGGACCCGTGTCCCCCATCAAGACAGCAGTCGAGCAACGCGCATCATTGCCGTGCGCCCCCAAGGGAGGCCAGCGGGTTATCAGTAGCACTAGTTTGCACAGGTGGAGGGCGGTTCCCTTTGAAGACGTGGCTCTCGCCTGAGGTTCCGTCCAGCTTCCTATCAGAAATATAGAGCTGCGCAACAGTTACACGAACGGAGGGCGGTTCTTCTCAAAACGGGGCTCTCGCTCTCGCGCGAATGGCAGGCCCATGGGGCTCTCGTCTTTCCGGGGGGGGGGTCCGAAGTGGAAAGGAGTGTTTGCAGGGATTTGTGATGGAGGGACTTGGGGCCGGAGGACGTATTGCAGCATGGCTGGTGTACCTTGGGTTCGTTCTGGTCTGCCTCCGCCTTCTCCTTCCCTGATCGCCCGCTTCCCCCTCCTCCGCCTCGTACTCCTTCCTCCCCCCGCTGGCCTTGTGCAGTTTTGGCCGCGAGGTAATATGTTGCTGCCTGTCGACGCCGCCGTCACAGCCAGCTTGATTCTCTGCAGAGCGATCTCTGCAGTCATGACAGCTTCCTGGTACTAGACTCGCCAGCTGTACCAGCGTATCGCGGCAACATTTGTCGATGTGCAACTTGCGCGAGATAGCCCTGCGTAAATGTTGTGCTTTTCCGCGACAAAAATTGCCGACGTCCAAATTCCTCCCCCCGCCGGTCAGGCTACTGGCAACCACATGGGCCGCCGCCTCCCGGTTACGGCGGGCTCTCTCTCTCTCTCTCTCTCTTTCTCTCTCTTTCTTTCTTCTTTTGTCTCTCTCTCTCTCTCTCTCTCTGTTTCTTTGGATGCTGCAGCTTTGCTCTCTGCTGCGCAGTGGGAGCAGGGAGGGCCCGCCGCCGAGGGAGGAAAGGGAAGGAGACGTGCGACCCCATGTTGTCTCGTCGGGCATGGGGTCTTGGTGCTCTCTGCACGTGCCGCGGGTCGTTTTGGTGACCATGTTGCACGCTGCTGCTGCTTCTGTTTCACGGCGTGCATGCTGACGCTACGGGCTCGACGTGCCCGACAGCGTGCCGAAGACAAAGGGAGGAGACTTGCAGAGCGGGCCATGCGATGCACACGATTTGCGTGGAGGGTAGCACGAGAAGCGAGCCCAGACATGCGACGTCTTGTTTTTCTTCAGAAGTCCCCGGAAGTCCCGACCCATTCCCCGGGGCCGGCTCTTCATCGCGAGGCGTTTTTGTTAACGATCCCGGGGCCCGGCGGCGAGGGCCTCTGGGGTCCGAAGACGGCCAAAAACAGAACCAGCGGCCGCTCGAAGGGTTCGTTGGGCGTGGCTGGCTCCGTCCTCTCGGTCCCGCCTGCACCTCGCAAAGCAAAACATAGCACACAGCCGAGTTTGATGATTAGGTCGACCAAGATCGAGGACACCCTTGCGTTCTGCGTATGGCGCCTCATGTCTGCTGCACTCCCGAGGCAAGGGCACCTTGGTCTAGAGGCGGTGTTGCCATCGGCAGAGCCCTGTGCCCTCCCGCGTGCCGGACCTGATCCAACTCGACCGCGCGTGTGCGGCGGCCAGTGCCCCGCCAGGCCCCCTCCGAGCCCCGCCAGGCGCCCCTGCCCCGGCCCCAGACCCCGTGCTGCGCGAGTCGGCCGGAGGTCCCGACCCGTCGGGCCTTCGCCCTCCGAGCCGCACCTCAGGGCGCCCCCCGCCCCGCCTCGTCGGGCGCCGCCACCGGCCGCGCCTCGCCCTCGCCTCCACCTCAACGCGCCATGCGCCCCCGCCTCCCTCGTCGCGCGGTGTCTGCTCTCTCTTTCACTCTCTCTCTCCCCCTCTCTCTCTCTCTCTCTCTCTCTCTCTCTCTCTCTATTTCTACAAGTGTATATCATTATAGTTGTGTTTTTTGTTTTCTCTCTCTCTCTCTCTCTCTCTCTCTTTCTTTATCAAAGTATGTGTTTCTTTATTTCATGTTCTCTCTCTATCATTAACTCTCTCTCTATATATATATCCCTATGTATCCTCTTTCCCTCTTGCTCTCTCTCTCTCTCTCTCTCTCTATATATATATATATACATATATGTATATATGTATATATACGTGTATATATATATATATATATATATATGTAAATATCCCTATGTCTATTCTTTCCCTCTTGGCAGGACATACGAACACGATGTGCACATGGTGGAATGTTGAAGGAGAGAGAGAGAGAGAGCGAGAGAAAAAAAAAAAAAAAAAAAGACGTCCCCACCACTATCACGACTGTCACTCGTGCTGCACTCCAGCACTGCCGTTATCGGGCCCCGAGGGCGGCAGCCCGGAGGCCGCGAAGCTAGAGGAGGCCCCCCCCCACGATCTGCCTCGCGACGCCTGGAGGGCTGCCTGGCCGATCCGGGTTGCCCTGAGAGGTCGGCCGCCTCGCCGACGACGACGACGACGACGACGACGGCGACGACGACGACGACGACGGCGGCGGCGCACGGCCGCCATCGAGAGGGCCTCCGAATGGCCGCCGAAGGGTCGCCCAAGGGCCGCCGAAGGGCGTCGGCGGCGGCTGCAGTGCGCAGGCGGCCCGCCGGGCTGCGGCCCGCCTGGGCAGCCCGCGCCGCCCGGCGCGGGGGCGCCGCCCGCCGCGGCGCCGGCGGCCCCGAAGCAGAAGCGTGGGCGCAGCAAGTCGGCGGGCTCGAGCGCGCGCCTCGGGGGCGCACACGGGGCGGCCGTCATATCTGGAAAGGTTCTTAAACGGATTCAGAGAACCAGTTTTTGAGTGAATTCAAAGGGCCTGACTGTTGAAGAATCTAAAAAACCGAGTTTGAATGAGTTCACAAACCGTCGGGGACCCTCGGGGGGCGGCCAGGTCGCGGTTCGGGGCTCTCAGGGGTTGGTTCCTCAGAGGAGGGAAAGGTGCCGATGACGCTACCACTTCATCTTTCTTGCCTTTTTGGGCCTCTTGAGAGGCCCTCGTCGCCACCGCTGGAGTTGCCTCGAAATTCTGGTTAGAACACAACCCGGGAGATGTCCGGAGAGTCGCGGTATCGGTAATTATATTGAATCGCTTCGCTCATTCCGCCGGCCCATACGGTCTCATGTCTGCCGTTTGCCCGAGGGCCTGGTGTCAATGCGGCGCTTTGGGGGTTCCTGGGGCCGCTTGGGGGACTCCTGGGGCGTTCGGGGGGGCATTTGGGGGGCCTCCTGGGGCCGCTTGGGGGACTCTTGGGGGCCTCCTGAGGGCCTCGTGGGGGCCTCTTGGGGCCTCTTAGGGGCCTCTTGGGGCCTCGTAGGGGCTTCTTAGGGCCGAGGGCGCGAAATTTTGTTTCGTGTTCCCTCTCTGGGGCCCCTTTGGGGGTGTTCTTGGGGCCCTCTTGGACCGTCTTGGAGGCTTCTTGGGCCGTCTTCGAGCCCTCTTGGGCCATCTTGGGGCCCTCTTGGGGGCCTCTTGGGCCCTCTTGGGGCGATCTTGGGGGCCTCTGGGGCCGTCTTGGGGCGTCGGGAACCGAAAAGGTGGAAGCTCCAAAATCTCTCAAAAACCTAAGGAAAAACAATGAATTTTGCCTCCGGGGGCCCTCTTGGGAGTGCTCTGGGAGGCCTCTTGGGGCGTCTGGGGGCTATCTTGGGCGTCTTGGAGCGATCTTGTGGCATGTCGGACCCCTCGTGTACCATCTTGGGGGCCTCTTGGGGGCCTCTTGGCCTTTCTTGGGGCTCTCGGGGACGTCTCGGAGCCCTGTTGGTGCGCTCATGGAGCGCTCCTGGAGCGCTCTGGGGGACTCCTCTCGGGACTCTCTCAGGACCTTGCCGGGGTATTTTTCGTCCGGGGACCCCCAGGGGCCGCCCCGCGCGCGCGAACTAGAGAATTCTTAACCAGTTACCGGAGATCTTAGCACGCCTCTGGCCCGTTGGGCCGGCGAATTTGTTTCCCAGAGACGCCTCGGGATGAGGAAGCGGCCCAGGGAGGTGGTCCAGAGGTCTGGGTCTCGGGTGGCCAGGTCTCGGGGCGGCTTCTCGCCATCCTGAGCATTCGGATCAGGTGTGCGCGGGCGGGGGTTTACGGCCCAAGGCAGGGTCAGGGAGCGAACCCAGCTCGAGGCTGGTATTTCCCTCCTCCGTGGGCCGTCCAGGGCGATTTTCCTCTGACCCTACCTCTGGCTCTACCCGACCTTTCCGTCCCCCCGATCGGAGACCAGATTCGGGACCGGGGACCGTCAGAAGACGCCTCGTGATGAGAAGGCGGCCCTGGGGAGGTAGTCAAGAGGTCTGGAGGCTCATGTCTCGAGAATATCGCGCCGCCAGATGTCTTGGAGGGGAGGATTCGGAAATATGCTGCGCGCAGCTGGTCTCGGCCGCACCGCCGCGCGCTTGCCTCGGTGCACGGCCGCCTCCAGCGCTGGGAGACGCGCGGGAGAGCCATTTGAGTGCACCTGCTTCGCTGACACCCACCCCCTTTCGTCCGCCCCTTTCGTGCGATCGAGCGCACATGTTTGTTGGACTTGTGTGGGCCTCGGGGGCCCACGACTTTCAGGTCTGGGTTGTTTCGGGTTTTGCCCCATGGGCATCGGGGCCTTCTTCGGGCCCGAGGGTTGTCGAAAATCGATCTGCGGGGGTCGAGAGACTGATTTTGATCGGATTTTGATCCGCTGACTGGCACTTGCTGTGTACGCCGCCTTGCAGGGGGGCAGGCGATCTGTTTCAGAACGGAATCCAGATTGTCTTGCTTATGCATTGGGTGAGGCTCCATCGGCAGGGGCCGAAGAGAGTGTGTGGAGGCGGCCCTTGCGGTCAAGCCGAGCCCTAATAGATAGTCGGCGGAGATCCAGAATCGATGTTGATGGTTTTTTCGTGGACCTCGTGGCCACGGCCAGGCTCCCCTCGAGGCTCTGTCCAGAATGCGTCCCTGGAGAGGTCCCGGGGCCGCGGTGTTGACGGAGGAGCAGGCGGCCGATCGCTCGGCCGCAGCGGGATGGCGGCGCGTCAGCGGCTCGGCGGCGCGTCTGCAAGTCGATGCTGGTCGGTCTCGCGGGCCGCATCGAGTCGGCGGGCTCGAGCGCAGGTCTCGGCGCTTGACTTCTAGCCGCTCGGTCGCGGCGAGTCGAAGGGCTTCAGCGGGTCGGAGGGCGTCGGCTGGTCGGCTTGGGCGCATTGGCCAGCCGCGTCATCTCGGCAGGCTCGTCATTTCTACTAGTCCCCGTCAAGACCGAGTAGTTTGGGTTATCGCCCTAGCCGTTTGCCACCTGTTTGTTGCCCCTACGAGCCAGGTGCCTGGCCCCAGTAGTCCTGATTGTCGACGGCGCTGCCTGCTGCCACTAGACCAGACTAGCGCTCGCCTACGCCAAGTTCGTGCCGCGATACGCCGAAGTCGACACGAACCAGCCGTGGCCCTACCAGTCCTGATTGCGCCTGGCGGCGGGTGCCAACAGCGCGGGGTTGCCGACGCCTGTGCTTGCCAGCCAAGTGCACGGCTGCCGCACGCAGTTGTTTCCAGTACGCAGCCTCTGACAAGCCCCGCTAGCAATGGCTACCAGCGGCGTTGGTTGCCTGGACTTCGCTGTCGTCGTTGCCATCATCGTCGTCAGCCCCTCCACCCTGGCCCTGGCTGCCACCAGCACGAGCTGCTGCCTCTTAGCCCCGCGAGTGTAAACAAGCACACCATATCGGCGCATGCTGCAGCAGCACGGCAGTGAATGCACAGCGCATTCTTTCGATACCAGTTTCTGCCGACGCTCGCTCGGCGAGCAAATGTTACCTGGGGCCTGCGTGCGAGCATAATTTCTTACCGTTTCGCTCGTGGGTCATCTTGCAACGCTCTCTTCTCGACCCCAGGGGTAAATAGAGTTGAGCCAAACCAGATCTGACGGATGGGCATGTTCGTTACTTGATATCCGACACCGAATCAAACCTCCGGGTCACTTTCGGAGGTCGCCGCGGCAATCGCAGCGGCTATAAATCGGGCAAGGCTTTTGTCATGGATTGGCGTACCCCTTCCCAGTCCCCCCACGCTCTGCGATGTAGACGTGATACATATTTGAGATGGTCCGCATCAGATCTGAAGGATGGGCATGTGAGCGACGGAAGAAAGCGGGGTCGACAGCGCCAACATTCGCGCGTAAGCTTCCCGGGTAAGGTCTCGCGTAAGCGCCCTCTTCTCCATTCGGTGTGCCGTGCTGGCGGCCGCGTAAGCCGCGGCGTATGGTCGCTATGTCATATTGCGTAAGACCAGTGTTTGTTCGTCGCTCATGTGTCGCAGCGATGTGTTCTATTGATGCACGCTGCCGAGGCTACTCCGGCTCGTACAGTTACAGCTACAGCTACACGCCTTCGCCATCGCCGGAGCGGAGCAAGAAAAGGTGATGTCGCTAAGGCGAGACAGCTTGTTCCTCCTTCCAGAAGCACTGCCTCTAAGAGCAAAAAGCGGCATGAGCATTAATGTTCGAGCTCCGCGCGGATGTTTTGGATCTGTGTTGGATACCCTTGGCGGCGCATCTGGAGCGCGGCAGGGAGGGGGTTCAGCGCAGATTCAAAAAATCTGCGAGGACTTCCCAAATATTATGTTTATGCAGCTGTTCCTCCCTCTACTAATTGTGGCCCTGCGCCTGCTCATGGATGCATCATGTTCGCATTTGTTCGGCGTATTTCATACAGTATTGCCCCGTTGCCATGCGCTCTGCTCGCGAGCTGGCCGCGTATTAAGCGTGGAGATGCGGAAGGCACCCAAGATGAGATCACATGTTAGCAGAGGCATGGTGTGTCGAACGAAGTCGGAGCAGGGATCACGTTGGGATGGAATGGAGTCGGCCGTGGCCTAGAATCGAGTGGCCCTTGCTTCGAGCAGTGCTTCGAGCAGTATCAAAGGTTTCTCTTGAGTACTCTGGGCGTTGCAGCAGTTGTTAAACTTGTCGCTCACGCGCTCTATTTTACAAATAGTTGTGATGTTGTGCACGCTGACAATAAGGACGAACAAACACCGACTATTGCCTGCATGCACATACATTCGCAAGTTTGGTTGGAAATGTCCTCTTTGTGGGGTCGACCACGTTTCGACGGAATGATATCAATTTCCAGCCCTCCAGAGCAGTCGGGACAGAATCTGTTCACGGGCTCATGCTTCGCTGCAGGCTCCCGCCCTGACATCCGGCGTCATGAATGTTGGAGTTTGTTTTGAGCCCAGCGGTCTTCTAATGGTCTCGAGGCCCAGATCGATGATATTCACCCAAAGGGTGTGTGTGTGTGTGTGCGTGTGTGCGTGTGTGTGCGTGTGTGCGTGTGTGCGTGTGTGCGTGTGTGCGTGTGTGCGTGTGTGCGTGTGTGCGTGTGTGTGTGTGTGTGTGTGCGTGTGTGCGTGTGTGCGTGTGTGCGTGGTGCGGGTGTGCGGGTGTGCGGGTGTGCGGGTGTGCGGGTGTGCGGGTGTGCGGGTGTGCGGGTGTGCGGGTGTGCGTTGGGTCTGGGCACGATCTTGGGCACCATGAACTTCCGTGCTGGAGTCGGCACTGGCTGCGAACTCGGCGGCGGTGGTGGTGTGCGGGTGTGCGGGTGTGCGGGTGTGCGGGTGTGCGGGTGTGCGGGTGCGGGTGTGCGGGTGTGCGGGTGTGCGGTGTGTGTGCGGGTGCGGGTGTGCGGGTGTGCGGGGTGTGCGGGTCGTGCGGGTGTGCGGGGTGCGGGTTGTGCGGGTGTGCGGGTTGTGCGGGTGTGCGGGTGTGCGGGTGTGCGGGTGTGCGGGTGTGCGGGTGTGCGTGTGTGCGTGTGTGCGTGTGTGCGTGTGTGCGTGTGTGCGTGTGTGCGTGTGTGCGTGTGTGCGTGTGTGCGTGGGTGTGTGGGTGCGCGGGGGCTCGTGGGCGCGTGGGCGCGTGGGCGCGTGGGTGCGTGGGTGCGTGGGTGCGTGGGTGCGTGGGTGCGT